GGAAAAGGTCTTGATCTTCTCATAGACCTCACGTGTCCAGAACAATGTGTCCTGCCTGACCGACAGCATGGCCGCCTTGAGGGTGTTGCCCTCATGCATCTTCTCGTGAATCTTTCGCCATGCGTTGCGTTCGGCAATTGCCAGGACGTGGTCCTCTGGCGGGGGAAAACGGCCCCCGATGTCCTCACCATAGAACCACTCGTACCAGCTCTCCAAGTCCTCCCGGGTGATGTCGAACTGGCCGAACTGCGGGAACGAGAGGACGCACATGAGGAGGGTGTTGCGGAACACCGCGTGCATCCTCTCGAGCTGGTGGCGAGTTTTGGGCTCGCCCCGCTCTTCCACCTCATCCTCCCGGTCCCAGCCATCAACCGTGCTCTTCTTAGTGGTCTTCCATGGCCGTTCTCCTGGCTCCGGGAGTGCGCTTACCAGGTATTTCATGGGGATGAAACCGATCTCGCCTCCTGCGCAGAGCTTGAACTGGCGCTTCACCAGCTGGTCGCTTCCTTGAAGGGCCAGCTTGGGTTTGGTGAGCTTGGTCTTCTCCTCCCAAACCCTCTCCAGCTGTCCCCGTTCGCACGAGACCGTGAGATTCGGGGCGGTGTCCCCGGGCGTGTGTGGCCCGGGTCCCGCTGTTGCATGCGCCCCAACTCCCATGGATCGTTGAGCCGCGTGAACCACCTGGAACATGCGGGCCGCGATCAGCCGGGAGGTCACATCCGTGTAGTGGTGGTTGTTGGGGGCGAAGCCCAACTCCCCCGGCGCCGTCTCCCTTGCACGGTCGGGCGAGTCCCACCGGGTCGCGAGGTCCTCCATCGAGACAAAGCCCTCATCCGACAGTGTCGCTTGGATGAACCACGGGATGCCCTTGAGGACCATGAGGTTCCTGGCGGTCTTGTGGAGCTTAGCCACTGCGTCCGTGTACACTCCAGGAACTTCCTGTGGTGGTGCCACCAACTCATCTGGTGTCACCGCCATGGTGTGGGTGGGCGGGATTTCAAATCACAAGACAAAAGATCAAAAGGTCCACTTGAGCCAAAATGGTGGCCCAAGTGGATACTTATTAAGAGTCAAGACAAGCGACCACCTACGGTTAACGCTTTAGCCCAGACTCTTCAAAGCACCACATTGGTGCTACTGGTACCTTAATCGCGAAACGGTGCATCCTTTACGCCGCATAAGGATTAGTGCCAAAATGGGAGGATTGCCCAGCTCCACTGGGCAGCTCCCCTCAGCAGCTGATGGGAGTAGAATTGATGCCATCCCCAACGGACGGATCGCATCAGCTGCCAATACCAACGGACGAGCTGGTCGTTGGGGAGGTCCTCCCTCCACGTATGCCGTGTGGTCCCGCTGTCGCATTTCAGGGCCCTCGGCACCTGTGCGTCCAGCGGTCCGGCTGCGGTCCACCCGGTGCGGACCCCGTCAATCCGCCGCCTGGGATGCCCGGGGACATCTCAGGGCCCTCGGCACCTGTGTCCCCTGGTTCCCGGGGCACTGGCCCCCTGGGATAGGGGTGAGAACATCTCAGGGCCCTCGGCACCTGTGTCTCCCCCCCTCCAGGCCCCTTCGGGGTTGCGTGTCAGGGCCTTCGGCACCTGCGCTCCCCGCTGGCCGCGGGGCTGGGCCCTGGGGGGGTGCCGGGGAGGGCGTATCAGGGCCCTCGGCACCTGCGCCCTCTCCCCCTGCCTCCTTGCCTTGAGGCATGGGGGGAAGCGTGTCAGGGCCCTCGGCACCTGCGCTATCCACCCCTCACTCAATTTCCGGGAGGACGACCGCCTCCTTGTCCGACTGAGTGTCCACGCTCTCGTCGGTGTCCGAGGAGAGGGAGATGGAGGCCTCGGAGTCCTGTGCTGCGTAGGGCTCCACGGCCATCCACGTGTTCGGGAAGGTGAAATGCCGGAAACATCTGGTGCATCCCAGGTACACCTCCGGCTCAGCATGGAAGTCCTGCTCCGCCAGCTCCGAAATCTTGAGCGGTCCCGGCCTCCAGCCGCACCCCACTGTGACTCCATCTGTGTCCAGTAGGTGCATGCTGTAAGCTTTGGTGGGACCCTTTCGGGCCGTGGTGGCTACCACCGTCAGTGGACCCCGAGGCGGGGGCACCTCATCCGCAGCCATCTTGGTGATGGCCGGCTTGTTGGCGGGGATCACATCCCAGCTGGCATTCGAGGGCGGTGTGTCCGGGACTTCCTTGAACAAGGCCTTCGGTGAGGCCGGGCACTCCACCTTGTCCTCCCAGTCCTCATGTCCGAGGTCGACTCGGACCGCCCTTCCTGCCTCGAGTTGCATGGACGGGAGCTTCTGGAGGACCTGGTCCCAGATGGAGCACACCACGTGTCGCTTCTCCCGGGTGTAGACATCCGCCGTGGACTCCTTGAACCAGTTTCCCAGGTACTGGCGCTGGTCCCTCGGTATGTGCGCCTGGAATGCCAAATCCGGCATGAAGACCCGGAAGGAGTACCATGAGAGTTCAGCCACGTCCTTGACTGGCGCGCCCTGCTTCCCCAAGGCGTCTTTGAGCCACCTCAGGGACCTGTCTGGGGTTCCTGGGCGGGGGATGAAGCCCGTCCTGTCCTTGTTGATCGTGGGGATCAGGTAGTCCATCTCGCGGAACTCCTCCGAGGCCCTGAATCTCTTCCACCACCGCTCCAAGGGGATCCACCATCTGGCCCCCGAGAAGGAGAACAATGGGGCAATGAGCGGGACCGGGTTCCGTTTGATGGCCACTGCCGACGTGGTCTTCGTTTGCCAGGCCGGGTCCTTGGTGTCCAGGCCCACCGGGGTGGCGGACGGCTTGTCAGGGCCCTCGGCACCTGAGCTCGTCACGCCAGAGCCCGAGGCTGGGGGGATGGTGGGCGGCCTGTCAGGGCCCTCGGCACCTGGGCGCGCCGCACCAGAGCCCCCCGCCTTTGGCATGGGGATCCCTGTCAGGTCCGGCAGATCTGACAGGAGGGCCGCCGGGAAGGGATTCCTACCCAGCGAGATGACCGCCTTGGCCTCAAGGTAGGAGTCCGTGAGGGATGTGAGGTCGTCCATACTGAAGTCCCTCCATGCCGTTGTCGGCTCGAAGACCCCAGTCTCAATGGCGACCCGGACCTCACTAGGCCACGCACTGAAGGGAGGCGCGATGGGCTCGAGCATTCTGGTTTCGAGGGAGCCCTTCGCCTGTCTGGCTTGGTGTTTCGCTTTCGCCTCCTCCGCAGTGGTCTGGGCCTGGAGGAGCTCCGGTGTGGGTCTCCCCCAGTCCGCACCCAGCTTGTCCAGCAGCTTCTCACGGAAGAGGTCCAAGTCCAGGTTCTTCAGGAGCAGGCCTCCATCACCTCCTCCGTCAATGGCCCCCCCTTGAAGTTCGTGGAGGACCGCCGCGGAGCGCTCCACCGCTTCCACCTGGTCCGCCTTCTTGGCCTCCTCCTGGGCGATGGTGGTGGCGTTGAGCCGGGTCTGAATCTTGAAGGCCTTCACCGCAGACGGGTGGAAGGCTCTGCATTCCTGGCCCTCTTCCTTGTCGCCTGGCAATGGGGGCCTCTCCCCCGGTGGGGCCGTCAGAAACTCCTCGTCCAGCTCCATGGGGCAGTTCCTGATCACCGCCCGGACCGAGGAGGGGACGAAGTCCGAGAAGCTGGCCTGGTCCGGGTTCTCGCAGGCCATCGGGTCGGTGGCCAGCTCGCTGACGTCCACCGAGGCACTGAGCTTGAGGTCGCGGGCCCGGTCCGTGTCAGGGCCTTCGGCACCCGCGGACCGGGCCGCCGTCCAGACCGCATTGCCCTGGTCATCCACCGTCAACTGCCAATGCGTGCCCGCCATCTCCAGGGTGGCCGAGTTGGTCGCCGTGTCAATGGGCTCCGTCTTCTTGCCGCACCCCTCGTGGCGCCCTTCTTCACCCAGGGCATGGTGCAGCAGGGGCAGATCCAGGATGTGGGCACCTTGCCCAGGGGGCGGTTCTCCAGGCCCCCGTACCCCAAGCCAGCGCGCTTGCCAACCTGCTGTCCCGGGGTGCTGAGCCGGGCCTCATGCTCGTACTTCATCTTGGCGATGTAGAAGGCCTCCACAACGCGCTCCAGGCCCCCCTGCTTGAGTTGGGGGCCCTCAAAGCCTCGCAGGAGCCGCTGGACGTCCTTGGCCTGCAGTCGGCGGAGCCTAGTGGCCGTGGTCGCATCGAAGCAAGGGAAGTCGCCCGCCATCTGGTCGTCGCTGAACTGGTAGAGGCCCTCCGAGACCTTGAGGGCCTTGGTGAACACGCTCCCCCCCGGCGGGGGGGCTGCGGGGTTCTCATCCTCCTCCGAGGACGCCTGCTCCTTGACCTTCGCCATCAGCTCCCGGCGCCTCTGCCACTTGGCGTCTGCCCGGGCATCCAGGCGGGCCTCCTCCAAGCGGGCTGCAGCCGAGGGGGACCTGGGCATCGGCAGCTCCTTCTCGTCCTTCGCCAGGAGCTCCTCCATGGGCACGTCCTCCTCCGGCGGGTTCAGGAGCTCCAGGAACGCCCCTGGGGGGCGTGTCAGGGCCTTCGGCACCTGCGCCACCCCAGGGGCTGCATCTTCCATCGGCTCATCCTCTGCCTTGCGCTTGGCCGGGATAAGGGGGGCCTGCTCCAGCTCATCTGCGCTGGAGAAGAAACGCTCGTCAGGTGCCTGAGGGACCTCAGCAGCCAAAACGGTCCATCCTTCTTCCTCCCTCTTCACGAGGCTCGCCAGGTACTTTGCCATGGAGGCCTTTGCCTTAGCCTTGGCCTCTGCTACCGCGGCACCAGCGTAGGCGGGGGCGTACATGGCTTTGAGAGTAGGGGAAAGAAAGATTTCAAATCACAAGACAAAAGATCAAAAGGTCCACTTGAGCCAAAATGGTGGCCCAAGTGGATACTTATTAAGAGTCAAGACAAGCGACCACCTACGGTTAACGCTTTAGCCCATTTTAAGAGGTAAGGCGGTTAATACGTCATAGCCCCCCCTCCCCCATTCGCCGCCCTGGGTCCCTGAGGCTCAAATTCTTGCTTCTCTCGCCTGATACTCCCGCTGTGACTTCTCAGCTTCCAGGGCACGGTCCACAAAGACACCTTCATCGGCCCAGTGTGACCCGATCCCGCACCAACCCCCGGACGGCCGCATAAACCTGATATAGGCGTGCGTAACAAAAGAATAAAAAACAGAAGACGAAAACAGAAGTGGACAAACAGACTTGCACCAAGGCGAACACGGTAGCACAACCCAATCTGAAGCCAGTTTCGTTTAGTCGACCCTTCTCACACCACCGTGGACAAAGCTGTTGGATTTGGGTGTGCAAGTGTGTTCGGCTTTGTTGACGGAGACTCTACGCTCCTTAAGCACCCAAAGGCGATAACATCAATCGCCCAATCTTAAGGGTTGGTTTCAAAAGGAGTGAGGAAAAGAGCTGGGCCCGCTTCCCCCACGCAGGGTTCACCAGGCATTCTGTCCAAAACTGACATGCGGCAGACCCACTTGAGGGGCTTGGGTGCACATGCAATGCAAACTCTTCGTACGGCACAGTGTTTGTGCAGATACTTCCATCTTTATATGACTCCAAACTCACTCAACACATGTTGATCTGGAAGTGCATATCTGGTATGTTGAAATTTGGGCAATGTAGAGGCAGGAACCTTGGTTGTTGTTCTGGCTAGATCAACCAAGATTCATGCGCGAACACATGACAAAAAGGTAACATGCAACCGTGAGATCAACCGAGTCCTGGGGCGTTCTCGAAGTGCGGATTAAACACGTGTTTTCATTGCGTCAGCCGCTCAAACTCCATGTGTATCCTTCTTGCGACCCATCAAAAAGAGGGCTGAGGGAACACCGACTGAGAGTCGGGTCTGGATGGCCGCAAAGGCCTATGGGCCTATGGCCATCCACCGCGCAATCAAAAGGCCCATAGGAAACAATAATGCAAACAGAAAGCCTACCGTACATCACGTGCACAAACAGCAAGACGGTAAACCCGGACTTCAATCACAACAAAGGTTCAAACCAGTGCATATGTGTGTGTGCGTGTGTATGTGTGCACCCTTGTATTTCCAGCTATTTTCTCTATAAATTCAACTTCATGGGGTTGCAACAGCTTACTCGGACTTGCCTGTCACGACATTCAAGACCGCGAGGTTGGTGAAGAGCACCTCAAGCACGAAAGTATGCATGGGCCTTGAGGGAAACTGCCAGCCACATGAAAGCGTCAATGGCCAACCTTCACCTTGCCAGTCATCTAGAGCCCAAAGGCAGGGAATATGACCTTTCGATGTCAAGAGCTTTCACTTGCGGCTTCGACTTTTTTTTCCGAGGCAGGTCTGCTTTTGGCCTCAATGCCTTCGCAGCATGAACGTGACACAGTTGCTAGGTCCTCCAGTAGAAAGCTTAGAATATGATAAGGGTACCCTTTTAACTCGAGGCGCCTCCACGGTCGGCTGCGTGGGCATGCCGCCCAACCACCGGTAAAAAGACCCAGATGGGCCGTGACACAGGGCAACGCCCCTGAGCCGATGACCCCAGGCCAACTACAGACGGTGACCACAGGAGAGCTTTGCAACATCCCTGTGGCCACCCCACGGAACCGAGCAACCAAGAAAGCCCATAGCTCGCTGAACCAGATGGCCAGGAGCGCACAGGACGAAATCCGCAAACCTCCCAGCAAGTTGGGAACAACAGGGCCGCACAAAGCGCCACGCAAAGCGGGCCAAGACCAGGCATCCAAACTGGGAGACTAGCGCAACGCAGCACCTTCACCGGAAGGCGTTCAGAGAATGGGGCTATATACCCGAACAGAGCCAATCCCCAAAGCAGGGATTGGCGCACGCAAGGCAGGAAGGGATCCTCACGGGTACCACGAAGTATACTGCTGAGCCGAAGAAAGGGCAATCGCCTGGTAGAGGAGGCTCTGCCGAGCGCAAACAGCACTCGCAGCGAAGAGTGGCAGCACTGGAAGTAGCCAAGGTGCCACAGGAAGGGTAGAAGAAGTCGCACCTGCTATGAGCAATCAGAGGACTGCCCGCACCACTGTAGATCTGCACGGAGTCTGAACTGCCGCAAAAACTGCATAAACTTGCACAATCCGGCAAGGAGGTAGCCTGACCCACAAAATACACTCCAGGAGATTGGCCACTTACCCACAAGGTGGCAAGTGGAAAACCCCAAAGCAGTACAACGTCCTGCGAAAGGCTAAAGCAGTCACCTCGGAGAAGAAGAAATTGCCCACCTGGATGAGGTAGATGGCCATGACACATCGGAAAGTCACACCAGACCGTAGCACGCACCACCCGGTGCTGCAGCATGGCAAGCTGCTTGGTGGACGCTTCACCGGCACATGGATGCTTAGCGAAGCCCTGGGGGCACAACTCCCTGAGGCAAGTAGCTGTGTAGCCGAAATGCCTATAAGGGTACCCTTTTGGCACACGGCGGGTGACGACTCGCCGCTGACGGAGGGGCATGCCGCCCAACCATCTGTCCAGGCCTGGTGGGACAGGTGCCCACCAGTGACACATACCACAGACTGTGGCAGAAAGAGGCACTCCTCACGAGGTGAAACACGAAGCCTCCAAGTGCAGGTCGCCCTCATCTCCAAGACCCACACCACGAAGGGCCCCACCACAAGGCCAGCATCGCCGCGGCCAGGAGCAACCCCAGAAACGGGGCCCTACAGCTCCAGCCACCACCACCACTGCACCCAGCGCACTGTCATGCGAGGGACCCAAGTGAAAAGGCCCAATCGCGAGGAACGCGGCCCAGCCGGGCCGCCCGCATCCGAGCTCAAGGAAGGCATCCTCCTCTGGAGTGCACTGCAACCGCACTCCAGAGAAGGCCCCCCCAAACCAAGCCAGGCCCGCATAGGCACCCAGGCGGGGCTCCCACTTACCTGGAAAAGCAAGTGGGGCTTTGCGGGTGACACAGCGCCGAGCTGCTTTGAAATGTACCAGAAGGTCTTGCACCGTGGCAGCGCGGCCATCCTGATAGGGCAGGACAACCGGGTAGCGCCTCCACACCACCAACGCAACCGCCAGGCCGGGCTGGAAGGAGTCCTCCGCAAGTAGCCATACTGCACCATGAAGGAAACTGCTCCAGGCCTCCCACGACGAGGCACCCATAGTCCAGTCGCCAGGTTTCCCCAGCGGGGGAAATGCAGCACAGAAGCGCGGAGGGCCATGGCACGGGGCCAGGATGACCTCACAAGGGCGCCCAGCAGACAAGAGGGTGAAGTCCATGAGAGCAGGGGCCTGGGCAAAGGCCAAGACAACCAGGATGCCGTTGCGCCGGAAAGAGCGCAGGGGGATGCATGGAGCACCAACAGCTTTATGGACAGCCTCAACGATAGCACCCAGCGTGGCCCCAAACGGCAAACCTTCAGCCAGAAAAGTGACACGGGGGATCAGGGAGCGGTTGGCCTCAACGAAGCGGGGATCCTCCTGCAGCAAGCCTCTGCGAGCATCAGCGATGTGAGAGTGCAGAACCCGCACCGTGATACCACGCTTCAGTGGGGCGAGGCCAGCAAACCCTTCCAGGGCCCGGGAGACAGCCAAGGCCGCGCGAAGGCCCTCCATTTTGAGAGGCGAGAAACGATGAACCACGGAATGGTCCTGGGGGTCCGCTCCCTGGGCCAAGAAGTCCCGCACGAAAAAGGGTCCAGTGCCTGATAGACGCAGGAAAGCAAGCCTATGGGTCAGAGGGAGTTTGACCGTAAACTGCACCACTCGACCCAAGTTGTGAACAGCGCCCCGAAGGACGCGGAGGGCATAGACAGATTGCACCGCCGACGACTGATGGGGGGCCTCCAGGAGGGCCCGAAGGTCCACAGCAGGCTTGGCCAAGATGCCCGCGAAATCAGTAGCAAGGGCCTCAAAGCTCTCAACCACAAGCTCAACGAAGTCAACCGTGTCAATGACCGTAGCAGCCTCAACAGAGGGCGGTAGGTAATGCCCGGAGAAAGGTGGACAAGCACAACCTGGATTTGAAGGGGGCCCTCAACGCCAACAGAAGACGGAAGCGCAGGCAAGGCAGCCCGCGAGGTGCCCGCCGTGGGCGCGGTGACCTGGGCCTTGAGGCTGTCCGCAAGCAAGCTGACAGGGCAGAAGGCAAGGCCTGACACTAGCGGCCCCAGCTGTCCTCGCGGAACCAAGACAGGCGCAACCCCTCAGCAAGGGTAAAGGCATGGTCCTCAGGCAGGAGTAGCTGATCCCATTTGGCGTGCCCTGGGGCCAGCTGGCGCACACTTGGCAGTAGGGGTCAGGCCTGGGGGGGGAGCCCACCGGTCATGCATGGTCAAGGGATCAACCGGAACCATCTCATCATCATCAGAAGCCAGAGAGACGGCCGTCTCACTAGAGCCAAAGCCACCACGTGCTGTCCAGCGAGGTTTTCAGCCGTAGTGGTGTCACTAACCGGGCGCCCCTGGACGTAAGGTCGGACGTGCATCAGGAGACGGTCAGGGAGTGGCAGTGCCCACGCAAGTTGCCGGAGCGTAGCAACCCTGGGGACATGAAAAACATGCTCCCGACGCATGGGGTCATGGATATGGAACCTCCGGCGGCACCAGCATAGGGGGAGGGGGCTGAGGGGCGAGTTGTACCGGCCTGAGCCGGGACCACAGCCAAGTCATGTCCGGTCAGGTCCCCTGCCGAGTCGCGAGGAAGCCACACACGGGCGAAGGTCGACATAGCCAGGAGGGGCAAGACAACTGGAGGAAGGCGAGCCGTCAGTAGGACCAAGGAGACTGACGCCCCAACAGGGTAAGTTACCTCAACACGCAAGCCAGAGGGTGAGTGGAGAATGGATCGAGCGGCACCCATGCGGTAGGGGAAGACCATCCTGGGGAAAGCCTCCTCACCAACCACAACTGGCGGTCCCTCCGCATCAGCCCGCGCAGGAGTCTGAGGATGGAAGGCAAAGTCAATGAGCTGATCCAGAGCTCCAACAAAGTACCACCCTCGCACAACCGCAGGACGCAAGGCAGTACCCCGAAGCCGGTGGCGCCACACACGCAGGACAAGGTGCTCAGGTACCTCAGCAATGAAACCGACCGCACGCAGGAGGACAGTCCACGGAATGGCCGCCTGTGGGACAGAGATACAGTTGCCCAAGCCATGGAAAGCCTCCTCCAAGGTAGGAGGAAAGACAAGGGGGCGGACAGCTCCAAGCCACAGAGCCCACTGTGCGGAAAGCTGGGCGGCCATCAACAAGAGTGAGCTGAGCAAAAAGCCCCCTGTCAGCCAGGGTAGCAGCAGCCAGGACATGCTGCTGAGAGTACCGAGCACAGAGCGTGCGCAGTGGCTGATCAGCAGGGGCCAGCCGCCTCTGGAGGACCTCTTGCGCAGAGTGCAAGTGAGGATCGGCACCAGGCAGGAAGGCAGGGTTCGTATAGTGCCGGAGAACCTGGTCATCAAGCAATCGCGCAAAGTCAAACTCAGGAGCCTCCTGCACCTGAAAATCCTGGTGTGTCCACGGCGCAGGCACAGGGTCACCAAAGGAGGCAGTGGGGGCAGGCTCAGCAACCTCAACATCACACCGCAGCAAAGTGGCAAGCCAACGGCGTCTGGCGCATGGGTTAAAGGTGGCATATGCACCAGTGAGTGATGGACCCGGTAGCCTGCCCACTGGATAGTGGCAAGTATGATGGGGAAGTGCGGATGATCCGGCAACCCATCAACACACTCCATGAGAAGAGCCAGAGGGGCAGCGGCCCGAGCCCACGCCAAGGCGGCCACGAAGGACATGCCATGGGGATCCCCTAGACCATCCTGTTCACCAGCTCGAGATCAAGGAGGGCAGGGCGGCGAGGCAGTGGCAACATGAGTGCCCATTCATGGGACACAATGCAACAACCCCCGGTCAGCCACATCCGCAAGGATCACTGCCTGGGAAGAGGTAGGGTCCCAACTGGTCAGGTTGACCGGGAGCACACAAGGAACATCCAGCGCAACAGACAGCGAGGCAACAACCTGCGGCGAGAAGTCCACCATGAGCTCCTGCTGGATGTCCAGGCCCACCAACTGCCTGATGGCCTCAGCCGCCTGGCCCCACCCATGAAAGGACCCCGCAAACAGGTGGGTGACAGCCAGCGGAGCATCAAAGTCCGGGTCGGGGACAATCCAGACCTGCGAATCAAGATCCACCAGGGCCACACGAGGCATGGTGCCAGCCACCAAGGACGCTCCTTTCACCCTGAAGTGACAACCAGGCCGGTTGAGGAGGGTGGTGAATTGCACCGGGGCTCTCAGAAGCATCTCAAACATGAGCCGGCGCACCCGGGGAGTGGCATGCAGGTCAGGCGGAAGGCCAGGAGAAAAGGCAGAGCACACCCACTCCGTTGGGGAGATCCCAGCATCAACCCTGAAGTGGAGGTCAGCATGACCACGCCAGGCCTCAGGATCGGGATCCTGAAAGAAAACCACCTCAGACATCAGGGCATCGAGTGTGGCCAGAGTGGTGGAAGAAAGGGCAGACAAAGCCCGCAGCACCGCCGGGTCCCGGGACAACATGGCCACAGCCAGCAACAGGCAAAGCCCCAGCACGCAAGAGACCACCGCCACACAGCAGAGCAGACCAGGGGGGCCGCGCACAAAAGAAGGCGGGGCGCCACGGAGGAGACCGTGACTTGGTGGACGCCTGACGCACCGGGGAGTGTCGCCAGGCCCTGGGAGCCCAATCCCTGAGCCCTAATGGTTTTGGACCAGAACGGCTATAAGGGTACCCTTTTTTCTGTAGTCTATTTTAGTAGGGGAACCCTCCCCCCAAAAAAGAGTAAAAAGGGCACTACTGGGGGACCTAGGTTGGAAGAGGCCTGTGAGGTAACTGCGGCCCAGATGACCAAGATGGAAGCCGAGGAACAACTGCTGCATATATCATATGTGTATTGTATATTATATCCTCCCACCAATTCACATGGAACCTGACAGGGGGTCCCTTTAAAAGGAAACTTGTCTTCCAGGATCTTTTTGTCAGGTTCCATGCTAATTGGTGGGAGGGTACATAAATCGGAAAGTCAAAGTAGATTCTGAAGGCTGACTCTCGAAGCGTCACCTCAAGGCTCTTATTTGCAGCAGTCCTGTCTATGGGAACCGTCGCATGCCTTGAATGAGTTTGCCCCCTTTAAGGGTCACCTCCCTGACGTCAAGCAGAAGGGTCCTTCCCAAAACGAGCTGATTCATAATATGACTCTTGGTTGCTGTTGACCCCTCTGCAAAAAGCTTAACTTTTTGCGGGTTCAATGGAAAAAGCCTTGATTTCCCCAAAAAGTTAAAGTCTAAAGATCCACCGCAATAGCACTCAAGGACTATACTGTTAGTTCCCGGAGACTTTGCGAATTTGCTACCAAGGCTAAGCCCATGTCATCGTATTCTTGCTATGAATATGTTCGGTCCTGCTTTGCACTCTCTTTAATTTTGAGCCACACCCATGTATTCACCGAGTCTTTGTCAATATCAGGCTACAGCGGTATTGGGCAGGTGCATCCGAGCGGCGAAGAACATCAGTAGGGTAAACGGAACCCAGCCTCAGCCGGGAGACGGTGTCAAAAAAGGATGGGTATGGGTCAAAATCCACCAGGCCACAGGAGTTTTGGACCGCAGGTTGTAGTCCCTGGTTTTCATTTACCAGCATCATGGGTTCAAGAAGCATGGCAAGGACCCAGTTTGGATGATAAGAATCCTTAGGTAAGCAATGGTAATTATATGACACCCCCTTTGTTTTCATGGTGGTTTGAACTCCAGGAGATGTCGTTTACCTGAATTGGAGCCCTTCTAAGTGGGTATGGGTCCAAATGAGTCACCACCAGGGGTTTTGGACCGCAGGTTGTAGCCCTGGTTTCATGTAGCAGGGGTTCCCATTTTGGGGTTATCAGAGTTCTGACCACCACAGCCAAACAAATGGTTCCGCCGCATGGTGGTTGCCCTGATGTGTAGCATCCACCGTGCAGAAATGAAATGCGTGCTGTTGAGCAGAGCCAGGCTGCAAATCAAAGATCTCAATACCGGGACGTCATTTCACAACAAACCACAGCAACCACAACGCCGACAACCACAGCAGCAGCAGCAGCAGCAGCAGCAGCAGCAGCAGCAGCAGCAGCAGCAGCAGCAGCAGCAGCAGCAGCAGCAGCAGCAGCAGCAGCAGCAGCAGCAGCAGCAGCAGCAGCAGCAAGAACAAGAAGCAGCAGCAGCAACAGCAGCAAAAACCACGAGGTAACCACAAGGGCGAAGACCCAGTTTCCGTTCTGCACGGTATGTTCAGCACGGGCTCGCTTTGCTTCCCTCTTAGGGCTTTCTGTGCACGCATTTACCGCGCGCCTACCAGCATGAGGTCTGCCAGCACTTCGGCGAAGTCCACCCCTCCCAGCATCACGATGGCCAAGGTGTAGAAGGAGACATCCTACGAGGCACAAAGGGCCACACGTGTCAGTCACACTTGGAATGCGAATGAAGCACCAGCCCGAAAATCTACTCCGGAAAGGACCAGCTGTCCGAATGCAACTGTCGAGTCAGGTGAAGCCAAAGCGATGCTTTTCCAGAAACCCAGCAACTCCTCCTTCCACTCTGGCTAGGTTACCATGCAAGTAGTTGGCAGGGCAACTAGATGCCTCATCCAATCCCTCTGGTGACGCTTGACAGCCTACATCGGCCATGCCGCCGATCTTTGGCCAAGCTTCCAAAGATCCGAAGTAGCCCGTGACCCGGGCCACTGCACTCGAGTCGCTCTGGCCGTGGGCCTTGACATCTCCAAGTTCATAGGCGCTTTGCATGGCATTCTTTCAGCGTCTTGGTTGCTGCAACGACCCCCCTGCAAAAAGTGAATGACTTTTTGGGGGTTTAGTGGAAAACGCCTTGATTCTCCAAAAAGTTACAAAGTCTACAGATCCAACCCAATAGCAGTCAAGGCGTCGTGCCCCCTCCAATGCTGATTTCTGAGCCCTCCAATGGAGAACCCCGACCTTTCAACCTCTCAGGGAATCAGGGGCCAATGGAAACACAGCCAATTTTGAGGCCCCAAAATCCAGCAGAGCCCTTTGGGGTAGATTTTGGACGTCGTAAAGCAAATCTGGGTTCATGCCTTCCCGGTCCGCTAAGGATTTGGGAAGCAATGCCTGCATGCCGTTGCTCATGTGGCATCTGGCATCTGGAGCCCACTCCCTACAGATTTCACCAACAGCTTCAGAAATCACACTGGCCAAGCCCGCACTTTGCGCCCGTTGTGCAAGACAATGTTCTGCAGCCATCCTCATGCACTCAACTGGCCGGGCACGGATGAAGTAAACTACAGTCTCCATGAGATATTGAACTGTGTCAACTGTATACATGTGTAAATACATATATATATATATATGTATATAAGGCAGAAACACACTGCACATTCCAGTGAATTCTGAAGGAAGGTAGATCCATGGAGGGGTAGCATATATATATACATATGTGGAACAAAAGCCCCAGAGCCCTTATGGATTAGGAACCGAACCCTTATGGTTCATTTTGGCTCAGCAAAAATCGGACGCGCGCCCGCGAAGTCGCTTGGTTCGACGACTTCTTTCGGTTGGGCCGCCCAGTCAGAGGTAAAGTTCATGATGCCAATTGCGAAGACCTTAGCAAAACAAAGTGAACCACTTCCCGCTTTGAAACCCTGGGCTGTGCATGCCATGCGCGGCCATCTCATTGGTTTTTGTTGCTTGATGTGACACGTCAGTTCGCAAAAGTAGATGACTCAACTTGCTGGTGCGATAGGTACGGAATGAGGGAATGAACCTAGGGGTACCCTTGAAGGAAACCACAAGGGGGTCATTCCCTCATCCACTTGCTGAGCACCAGCAAGTCAATCCCATGATCGGAGAGTATCCCCAGTGTGCAAAGCTCTCTCCATTGCCAGCTAATCAAGATGGCGCAGCAACACCAAAACTATGGTCAACATGTTGGGCTTCCGAGTGCGCAGAAGGCACACTCTCTCGACATGGACAGTCCGGCAAATCTCGCCGAATGCGCTTCTCCGGGCATCGACTCATTGCCCTTGTAGTTCGCCCTTCTCAGCGGATTTCCTTCTCAAAGCAATGGCAAGCTGACCCTCTAATCAAGCCCTCTTGATTGGGGAACCTTTGGGGTAATCTTCTTTAGGCTGCTTTTTCCCGGGCCTTGAAGTATGCCTTCCTTTCAGGGTGCGATTATCCCTTCGAAACATCGCCCAAGTCCAACCTGGCCCGAGTAAACGACACCTTGGGGGAACTGAGTGACCGGTGACCAATTGGGACCCCGTCGTCCGACTTCTGCACGACACGCATGTCTCCAAGGCAATCCGGCCAGCGTCCCTGGTTTCGCGGAGCTTCGAAGGAAATTCACAAACCCAGGGCTGCGAGATGAGTCCAAATGATGTTCTGCGCGCAGAACTGGAGTGGTAATATGTCTGTCTGCGTGTCAGGGGTCAAGCTTGTGCCAAGCAGCGCTGTTGCGCCGAAGCGCAGGCATCCACACGGAAAACGAGACACGCACACATGTACACAAACAGAGTCCAAGCACGAGGGCAAGAGACATGTGACGAAGTGATCGTGTCAAACCACGCATACTGGTTGGACAGTGGCTGGCAGCCAAGTGGCGTACATGATGATGACAAGCATCACCATCGCCCAAAGCAGGGAACTCAATGAGTCTGCAATCATGACCATCCTGGGAGTGTATCATGCCAAGCGGTACTGATTGCCATGAATCGATTGACGCACACGTTCCGCCATTCTGTTTCTAAACATGTTCGTGACCGCAAAAGCTACGAAGATACAACACGCACGACTAGCGCAAGGGCAGGATTGGACGCTTTCGTCAGGCGCATTCCTGACCTCTTTGCATACCCAGGCTCAAGTTGGAAAGCTGCTTGATGACCCGAAACACGCGGAAGACGCGAATGATGCGCAGCATCTTCCTAGCTCGAGGGCGCCAGAGCAAAAGCAACATATCCCAATTCAATGAAGCACGGCCACCACCACCACTGCAAGCACTGCCTTTCAAAGTGGCCCAGCAACAGCCCATCAGCACTTACGGGCAACTCCAAACATGGAGAGTGTAACAAGAAAAAGTCCATGCGAAGCTAGGTAGCTTGCTGCTCGTGCCTGCCTGAAAGCTGAAAAGTCGAGCCCTCGCAGGAAAAAAACACCAGGGACTGCGGCCAAGGTGCAATGCCCTAATCGCTGACAGGACCTCGGAAGCCCAAGCCGGTCAGATCTTGACGCGTGTTTAGTATACCCAGCAACGGAAGCTGCATCGACCTGTCGAGTCGATCCTGTTCAGAAGCTGCACGGTCTTGAGTCTGAACAATGCCAATGCCAACGAAATCCAAAACCACCCGGGTGCCAGCCTGCCGTGAGCGACTGACAAGTCCAAAACATCAAACAAACAAACAACGGACCCTTTCAAGCATCCCGACAACCGTCGCCTAACATGCGGCGGTTGTCAAGAGACAAGGTTTTACTTTCATTCATAAACAATGCTTCAATTTGAAGCTCATTGAACACATTCAGCTGACCCTGACTTGGAGTATCAGGAGCGGCCATCGACCCCAACTTAGCAGAAGTTAGCTATTCGGGTCCAGGCCTGTGGTACATTTCCGAGGGATCCACTTGGGTGTGGATTTCGGATTTCCATTTGCTTTCCCTTCGCAAACTCACCCAAAAGAGGAGACCCCCAAAAACATTTTGCTCACGCCGTTTTTTTTCTTCTGCTCCTGGCTCCGAATCGAGTCCCTGTCCCGAGTGTATGCGTCCGTCAGTCTGAGGGGCAATGGAGCTGTCCTCACTGCCACTCAGCAGGGGCACCAGGTCGGCAGCGGAACAGACCACCAGAAGCCTCAAGCCGCACCGACGGACCCAAGGTGGGTGCTTTTTGGGGGCCCATATGGGCCCATGCCCACAGCCCTGGCGGGTCTGGCATGGGAAGCTCCCCTCTAGGTTCCTGGACGGCAAGAGTGGTGTTTGAAGGTGGCAGCGCAGGCCCAAGGAAACAAAGATTGAATGACTTGGACAGCGGGCAAAAATGGATTGGCCTGTTCGGAAGTTGTTGTACTTGCGGTGGCATTCATGCTCAAAGGCGCTGGCAACATGTCGAACAACCGGTGCCCAACCACCACATGTTTTGGGGAGCCGGTGATCTTACGTATGTGTTCATTGTCTGTCTCAGGCACTGAAGCATGTTTTGAGGACCTGTCTAGCCGAAAGGTGACTGTTTCATTGGAGAGCTGAACCCTTCTCATTCCTTGCACTGAGCAAGGGTGCAGCAGCAATTCAAACCTCACACGCGCACACAAACACAAACACACACACGAGCTTCTGTAGTAGCTAAGTTGGCCGGACATCCACTCAACAACCTTGACACTCGCATCAAATGTTAGCGGCAAACTTGCCCTGCCCAACGTGAGCGGCGTATGCAACATGTACACAAACGGGGCAGGTGCTGGCATGGCCATCCATCAGAGTACTTCCCCGGGTTCCCTTTCCGCAAACACTCATGTGCAGCCTGAGTCTGCCAGGCAAAGGAGCAAATGACTCCGTTCACCTTTGCAACTTGCTGAGATCAGCCGCTTGCTTGGGTTCATGCGGCTGGAGAAATGAGGCATCCGCCACTTGGACCTGCTTGACACCAACGAAACAAAGACTTGGGCCTGGCGTCTTCGCACCACTAGGCAAAGCCGTGCGTCGTGCTCACGGCTTCCGCGAACTCTTTACTTGGTTGCTGTTGACCCCTCTGCGATTGGTGTTTCACTTTCTGTTGCTCCAATTATGAATATATGACCTGTTCCAACCAAAGAAAAATACAGTCCAAAGATCCGTTACCAAATAAAGAACAAACATGCGCTTCTTTTGGCGGAAACAAACAGATTGCCCTTTGGCAACAGCCATGGTTTTGGCCAAGTAGCGAAAGATCCGAGCAAATCTGCAAATGTTACCATATGTCCAAACCCAAGAAAAAGCAAATTTACATATTTCTGTCAATGACTCCAAAACCTGAAAAAGAACGGAATTTCAAGAAGAAGCATCTTTACATCATCTTTACCCATGACTAATTTCGCTCGTTGTTTCTCTCCCAAAGTCGCTGAGAGTTCGCGTGAGCTCACCGCATGGGCTTTCCGATGGCCGGTGGCCGGAAGTCTGAGCCGGGGAGCAGATCGAACCAGTTCCAAGTCCAGGCCTCGCCGTAGAAAAAGGCCCAGCCTCGGCCGGCAGTTTGTCCCGGTTTCAGTCGGGGACACCCCCCGTTGTTTGTTCCTCATAAGAGGTGGATGAATATGGGGCTTCCAGTAGTAGTAGTAGTAGTAGTAGTAGTAGTAGTAGTAGTAGCAGTAGCAGTAGTAGTAGTAGTAGTAGTAGTAGTAGTAGTAATAGTACTAGTACTAGCAACGAAAAACATAGATTGATAGAGAACATGCTCTCTGGCAGAAAGCATGCAGCCGCTTAAAAAAACAACAACGAGCGAAGAATTGTGAAATCCGGATTGCAACAGAGCACGTGATATGAGAAGCTCCGTTTCCAAGTGATGGGAAACTATAGCCTATCTATCAGCACCAAATCCACTACGCAATTGAGTTCGGAACATAACTCCACTACGATATTTTTACTTTGCCTGAAGTTCGAGGTGATTCAGGAATGCTGCAAACTCAAAACAACTGAACAAGCTGTTGCTGGGCACCACTTTCCAGTGCCTTGAACGCCAAAATACGCCGTGGAGCGCACAGCCCTCCAAACCAGCTTGGCTCACTAGTCACCAGAAAGCACTGACTGCTCTGAGAGGCGAGCCCCCCAAGTACAACCCTTCATGCATTGATCAAGGAGAGCTTGTTTTGTTCCCAGCTTGTCATTTGTGCAGCAAAAGTATGCACAGGCTCGCTCTACGCGGGACGAAAGCCTGCTACCAACCATTGACCGTAGGCGGCCGAGACGTCAAACAAACAACGGGGAAGAAGACCAGTCTAAGTCTTCGTAAATCGAAGCGTCCAAACCCATGCACATGTTTCAGCGATGCCAAGCGGCGAAAGACCCGAATGCGGAGGGCGCACTCCACTGCAAAGTAGATTGTGCAAACCTCAAGAACATATCTCAGCAGCGGGCTTGTCTTGGAGCAATCCATGGAATGCTGAATCCGACAGCGACTTGGAGTGATTGTGTGGGCCGTCCAGCCACCCCGTTTTTTGTTGTTTTTTAATCTAGCAAATCCAACCTCGGTTGCTTTCTGCTCCCCTGCTAAAAGTTTTACTTTTAGTCGTTTAATGGAAAATCCATTAGTTGGCAAAAAGTTGAAGTCCTAACATCCAAGCAAAACGCACCAAATCCAACTAGGACCTCATGTTCGGACCAACCCAATCCGTGCCCTCTGGAACGCCTGGCTTCGTGGACAAAGACGTCCAAGCGACATGGCCATGTGTCAAAATGTTGTATTCCCAGTGAACATCCCAATCCAACCACTAAAATAGGTTCTAAAATGGGTGGTGCATTCACCTAGCCCAAAATGGGATCCCATTGGTTTGGACAACCACTGCCACATTCCCCAAACTTCTCCAATCCTCTAAGCTCCAATCAGCTCGTTCAGAACCTCCCCGTCCAAGACGGGGGGAAACGGGCAAAATGGGTGCTATTCTACGCCGAGCTGCGAACGACCAAAGCTGCACCAGAATTCCAGGTGTCTTTCCGGCAGCTGATAGCTCAGCGTCATATCCGATCCTTGGCGATTTGCCCCCCAGCCAGATGGCACCTCATGGGCTCAAGTTTGCTGAGCTGAAGCTCTTGCGAAATCCGCCCTTGCTCACAGGCAAGGCAGCACAGCCGGAACAAGCGTAAGGCAAGCAACGAAAACAGCTGCATCATGTTCTTGCTTGACACGTTCACCTTAACCGATGGCTTGGACTGTTTGTCCAGGCGCTTGCGCCTGTGCTGAATGAACCTATGTAAGCCGGTTTTGCCGGATGCTTCTTCGGCATCCAGCCGATCAACAGCAAGCAAAGCCTGTAACGTCCAGCTCCAACGGTCCAAGTGTCTGCACTGCGTTGAAGACAATCATGAACGCCTCGTGCGGCAAGGCCCTATGATCGCAAACCATGTCACAGCGCTTATGAGGGCAATGAGGGCAAGAGTTAAATGAGCCAAACAAAAACGTGACACGGAGACCTGTCATTGCAGGCCATACATATCTTTACCAACAGGCATTCCCATGTTCACTTATCGGGCATACGCAGCAAGCTTGCAAGAAACAAACACGACTAGGAACTCAAAGGGGCATGGGTCACAATTTAAGACACCAGGATACGGACAGCAATTTGTTCATCCATGTTTCCATTCGCCAAGGCCCCCCCCAAGTTGAGTACGGGTGTGATGACTCACGCTCCTGAAGACTAAGCCACAGACCGTCAAGGCGTTGAAGAGAGGATGCTGCACCTTCAGAACCAAAGTTCGTGACTCAGACGTTTGGAGGGGAACACCTATTCATACATTGAGGTTGGTTGATACGGGGTCAACAATACTACTACTGCTACTACTTCTGCTACCACTACTACTACTACTGCTACTACTACTAGTACTAGTACTAGTACTAGTACTACTACTACTACTACTACTACTACTACTACTACTACTACCCTCCCACCGACTAACATGTTTTGGTGCACAGACCCGAGAGAGAAAGGCGACTTTCCGCTTGGAAAGGGGCGGGCTTGGAGCACTTCCATGTAAGTTGGTGGGAGGTTAACGTCAGAGCTGCGTTCAGCCCGGGCAACTATCCAGGCAACCACCCCCATAATCAACAACATCACCAACATGATGCTTCTCACAATCAGCCGGAAAATCACTGGGACTCTCATAAGCTGAGACTTAGTTTGGCTTTCTCCAGCATTTCGGCTCATTCAGGGTCGAAGGTTAACGTACAAGGATAATGTAAATAGGATAACCTCTGCCGCTGCCATTGCTATGAGGTGTTTGATGTGACCGAAACCACAGCAGAGCAAAGGGAGGGAGCTTCTTCCCAAAAACACATGGGCACCAAATAGCGCCAAGATGCCAGGTAGGATAAGCTTAGCTGACTCCTGTCCACCTTCAAAAGATTCATGGAGCGCACCTTCTTCAGCTCCTGAAAGCCCACGACAGTCAGTTGCTTAAAGGAACCTGCACACCTGCGAACGCACGCGGCAAGCACCACAGTTTTTTTGAACAGCGCATGATTTGCACACTACCATGGAAGTGTGCACGCTCACCTTGCACTGCAAGTATGCGTGTGCACAGACAAACACAAAAATAAAGACCTAATGACACCACATGCAAGGATTTGGAAGCAAGTTTGATCAAGGCTCATGAAAGAAACGACACTAGCTCCGTGGGAAAAGAAAGAACAGAAAGAATGAAAAAAACACCCGGGTTGCATGAAGTCTCAGCGGCGAGCTTTTTCTTGTCTGTCGCATTCAAGGACCCTCTCCCACCGATCAAAGTGAGTGAGTGAGTGAGTGAGTGAGTGAGGGAGGGAGGGAGGGAGGGAGGGAGGGGAGGGAGTGAGTGAGTGAGTCAGTGAGTGAGGGGAGTGAGGTGGGTGAGGTGGGGTGAGTGAGGTGAGTGAGGTAAGTGAGGTGAGTGAGTGAGTGAGTGAGTGAGAGAGTATGAGTAGTCTAAATATGAGTATAAGTGAGATGAGCGTGAGTGTAGAATGCGAGTGTGAGTAAGTGCGCGAGTGAGTGAGCGCGTGCGTGAGTGAGTGCGTGCGTGAGTAAGTGAGTGAGTGGAGTCAGTGGAGTGCGTCGAGTGAGAGGAGTGCGTGGGGTGAGTGGTGAGTGGAGTGAGTGAGTGCCTGCGCGCGTGAGCGAGTGAATGAGTGCGTGAGTGAGTGAGTGAGTGGGTGAGATAGTGAGTGAGTGAGTGAGTGAGTGAGTGAGTGAGTGAGTGAGCGAGTGAGTGAGTGAGTGAGTGAGTGAGCGAGTGAGTGAGTGAGTGAAAGAGTGAGTGAGGGAAAGGGTGAGTGAGTGAGTCAGTGAGTGAGTGAGTGAGTGAGTGAGTGATTGAGTGAGTGAGCGAGGGAGTGAGTGAGTGAGTGAGTGGAGTGATTGGAGTGATTGGAGTGATTGGAGTGAGTGGAGTGAGTGGAGTGGGAGTGAGTGGAGTGAGTGGAGTGGTGGAGTGAGGGTGTGTGAGTGTGTGTGAGTGAGTGAGCGAGTGAGTGAGGGAGTGAGTGAGTGAGTGAGTGAGTGAGGGAGGGAGGGAGTGAGTGAGTGAGTGAATGAGTGAGCGAAGTGAGTGTGTGTCTGAGTGAGTGAGTGAGTGAGTGAGTGAGTGAGTGAGTGAGTGAGTGAGTGAGTGAGTGAGTGAGTGAGTGAGTGAGTGAGTGAGTGAGTGAGTGAGTGAGTGAGTGAGTGAGTGAGTGAGTGAGTGAGTGAGTGAGTGAGTGAGTGAGTGAGTGAGTGAGTGAGTGAGTGAGTGAGTGAGTGAGTCAGTGCGTGAGTGAGAGAGTGAGCGTGTGAATGAGTGAGAGAGAGAGAGAGAGAGTGAGTGAGTGAGCGAGTGAATGAGTGCCACGAAATCCAGCACTCACATGTCCAAAGCACTGCGCCTGCCCCGAAAGCAGGCGGGCCCACACGAGCGCGCGACAACATCCAGTTCCTTCAGAAACCTCTCAAACGCCGCCTCTGCCACGAAATCGGCAGTCACATGCCCAGCATGCTGCGCCTGCCACAAAACCAGTGAGTGAGTGAATGAGTGAGAGAGTGAGTAAGGAGCGGGAGGAGTGGGAGGAGCGGGAGGAGCGGGAGGAGGCGGGCGGGAGGAGAGGCGGAGCGCACGCGCGGCGAGGGGACGACAAGCGCTAAAAGTAATTAAGAACTCCACACAAAGATGTGGGGAAAAGACACGGCACGCACACAAACACACACACACAGACAAACAAAGAGCCAAGCCAAGACTCGCAGTGGCAGCAGCACGCCACAAACCTAGAAAAAAACAAACTAGAAGCACAAACACACTCACACACCCACATACACACCAACCACACACTGCATAGAGATACACAGGCGTGCGAGTAGTCGCGCATTGCTGCATGGGCGAGTGCGCGGGCTTACTGTGCATCCCGTGTCTGAGATGATGCGTGTCCATCCCACAATTGCAAAATACATTGATGTGGAGGAACTGCAGTTCCTCAAATGACAACATCAAAAGCTGGACACCAATACGACAAGCTCCTTCCCCAGCACTTCGATCTTCTCCGCCAGGTGAATCTGCGACTGTCGGCCCTTCTCCTCAGGAGATAGTGCCTGAGCCAGCACGCGGATCAGGAAAAACATCATGGCCTTCTCCAATTCGGAGGGCTTGGGTCTCACAACAGGGGCGGTATGGCGAACACCTCTTTCACGGTTACGTTCATGCCAAGATGAAGGTCATACCATCTCTTGGTCATGAAAGGTTAACCTTTCGCACAACCCTAGGACTTTGAACGACAGTCAACCTAAGTGAAGAAGCTTGGCAATCTTTTTAGCCAGCGAGCAGCGCTTTGCCCAACGGTTCAAGCATGACAAGAAAGCCCTCAACAAAAAAGTCTGAGATGATACTGGCAGAGTTTCAAATGATGCACTTAAGGAGAGGGCGAACTGAAATCTGGCATCATTTGGCAAACATACGCTTCAAAACAATCGGGCAACCCCCCCCCTCCCGACGCATGTGAACCAGCAATGTCAGGGAAACACAGGAAACATGTAGCGGGTGATGGCAAGCCAGTCCAGCCAGACAGTGACGGGAGCAGGTGGCAAAACAATCCAGCCACAGGGCGTGAATGAAACCCCTGCCGTTGTTCAAACATGTGCAAGTTCTAACATGTTCTAACGCCCTTTTGTGCCCACAATCCTTCCACCCACCCACTCGTCCAAACAAACCTCAAGCAAAGCCACTTCGAGGCCAGCTTTTGGGGATAAACATTCAGCACACCAGAGGTTTGTCAACCAGAGGCCTTGCTAATCAAGGGTCCCCATGGGCCTTCCTGACGACAAGCCCGCCTCCTTCTGCGACTCCTCTTCGGTGATTGTGGGCAAGGCCTGGCAAGGTGTCAACACAACACATTCGGCAAAGCTGTTCTACATTCATAAGAGGTGTTTGATGGTGGACCAGCAATACTTCAGCATAAAGGCTGCAAATGCCGCGAAAGGGACTCTGGCAAGGATTCATTCAAAAACCTGAGCAGTCGCACAATCATATCAAGAATAAAGCACGGATGGCAATGTGGAGCCGGGAGCCTTGTTGGTCGCTGTCCGAGGAAGCTAGGAGATGCACTGATCTGAATCCGCGAGAGCGAGCCACCAAGCTAAGAGATGATTTGCACTCAATCCCTCCATAGTTACCTTAGAGCAGTGTGAAACGAGCCATCCAAATGGCCACCTCATCTCACGGCCATGTTGCCCAGTCATGACAGCTTGGTGTGTCGGCCCTTGGGTGTAAGATACAAACGCCGCTTGTTTGGGGCCAAGCCCCAGCCAAGTGAGTGACTCGCCACTCGCGCCTCCTGGCTGGAGAGAATTTGAGTGTAGCTGAGGCGGTTCGGCGGTAACTCGATCTCCACCTGGGACAACCGCCAGGTCAAGAATTCTCCCACGATTGCTTTTATTTCTTCCTTCAAGAATTTCCCTTCATCCCGCGTGCCGCAAAGCCCATCGTTCTTATTTATTCATTATTGGCTTGTCTTTTTCTCGTGGATAGACCCTCTTACTATCGCTTGATGGCTTCTACGGTCTACTGACGGAGATGCTTTTATTTGTTCCCACCATGAACGACGCATCATGTTTGGGCGACACCTCGGCCACCCCGTTGCTGCCCCTATACGATGGATACTCACAGGTGATGTGCATGTAGTTGCGTTTGTTTGTTTATTTGTTTCTTTGTTTGCTTGTTTGATATATTTTGTTTATTTGGGTTGTTGTTTTGTTTGTTTGATAATGCTTCGCCCTATTGTGACATCCCGCCACCGCCTTACTAAAGAGTATCATGTTGAGAAAAAGCGTATTAGTAGGGTCCCAGAAGTCCCAGAACAAACCACGGGCCACTGGAGGGATATGCAACTTCGACAATTGAATTGTAGAATAATTTTCACACCCTCTAAATAAATGCCGTATGTCACATAAACGGAAACAATCAGCCTCTGACAGCCAGAAAACAGATTGGAAAGGTTCATATGCAAGGACTCCTTCTTGCGCACTTGGGCATGTTGTTTACCTTTCTTCATTAGTACAAAGTTGAATCGAATCTGAGCTTCATGCTTTCTCGCATTTGGTGGGTAGCTGTTGAACAAGGGAAGTGCTGCAAGTACGCCCACTAAGGGCCATAGCATTGTTTACTCATTGTTTAGTATCGGGTCAACGAAAAGTAAAGGCGGCAAGGTGACTTTTTGACTTTTGCCTCAAAACAACATCTAGTCAATACGGGGGAGGTGATTGAATCAAGCGGGCTGGGGTAGCGGCCTGCCCGTCTGGATAGTTGTTTGTCGCCAAGCAAACAAATTCGAATGCACCAGTGAGCTGGTTCTTATAAGGTACACCCTTCCTCCAACAAACATAGCACCTTTGGGAGGGTACCTAGCAAATCAATTTCCTCCTAGGCACCCTCTGTGAGGTGCTGTGTTAGTGGGAGGGGTAAGTGTTTGGACAAGTGGTACGCATGCGAGAGTAAAGCAATAGGCTATGTAAGAACCCGGTCGCAGTCGACCAAGCAACTGGAAGTAACCGCCTCAAAATGCAGGGCCCGGTCGCCGTTGACCAAATGACTAACAGCCAATTGTCGCTGCGCAATTTCATGGCTAGTCTTCATTGATCGTTTGTTTCCACTTGCCATAATGTGGATGGACGAAATCCTGCACCACTTTGGAACAATGAAAGACCATTGTTTGTTGGCATTCACAGGGAAATCATCATTCTAGGGTTTCTTAGGTGGTGCAGGATTCCGTCCATCCACAGTATCACACTCCTGCCAATGGCCACTGCACGAGCACATGCCCTCCATGATCATGTACGGCTCGTGGTACGTCCAACAAGATGGCGTCGGGCTTTCACAATGGCTGTCCCCGTAGAACAGCATCCCGACAAAACATAAAACAAACAAACACAAAACAAACAAAAACTCAAAAATACACATCACGCCATTTTGTAAAAAAAGAAAAAAAACAGAAAAAACTCCGTGCACGCCTCTGCCTCACCCTCAAACTTCTCTGCCATCACTTCAGGCGATACCTCGCGGCATTTTCGTCGGCCGCGTTCCAATTCTGCCGAGTCAAAAGAAGCGATTCGGCGCGACTTCGACAAATTTGGAGCTCAATTGAAGGTATCAGCAACCAGGGACCTCGGAACACGAAATGCGGCAGCGACGCGAACGGGTACACACTGAAAAAGCGGCAGCGACTTTGCGGTTGTGGATCTCCGAAAATATATCCAGCCTAAAAACTCGGATCAACAGCTGCATGCGCACTTTGTTGAGATCTCTGTCGTTGCTCCTTACCACGCTGCTAATCTGCGCCCACCCTTGAAACATAGACTTCCACCTTGCATCACTCTGCCCGTCAAGTTGGGCAATCACAAGCCCAAATTGTTTGCTGTGGCCTTGCTAGGGCTACCTCCGCGCCTCATCCAGGTCGCTCAAGCTGACCCGGCTCGGAAGTGCCGTGCCCTCCTTGGCTGGAGGCTCGGCTCGAGTTGTTCGAATGCTTGCCACCCAGCACGCTGCATGCCCGTTCTTGACCCCAGTATACAAAAACTTTGATAACCCCCAGCCACATTCTAAGCAGATTCACACCCGTTTCATTTCACCCTCCCACCAATTCACATGGAAACTCTAACGCTCGGGCCCCGGTCCCTTTAAAGGAAAACGGCCCCAAACGACCCACCGAAACCTCAGCTTGCGCCGGGCCGCCGCGGCGATGTCGTCCTGCTCCGCCCTGAGGCGCATCTCTTGGAGCTGGGCCTCGGCTTGAAACTCCAAGGTCCGTGGCTGTGGCCGTTGGACCCTTGGGCTGTGGGGAATGGAGCCCACTTCTGTGATACAGAAAGGGCCTAACCCCAAAGACGATTTTCTGCATATAAAGGGGGATTCCCGAAGGTATCACAGAAGTGGGGAGAAACCCCTTGATCCCACAACCCTTCAAGGGGATCCCATTTTGGTTGGGATTGGGTGAATTCACCACCCATTTGAGAACCGATTTTGGTGGGGAGTGAATCGGATGTTCACTGGGGGGACGATTTGGATTTTGACCCATGGCCTCATAAACTCCTCCACACTAGGTTTTCCAGTAGAGAGGTTAGAATAAAGGTACTCGATTCTTTCTCTGTAGTCTACTTTAGTAGGGGAACCCGCAACCCGCCCCCAAACAGAAACGGTAAAAGAAACGGCACTAAAAGCTAAACTTATAAACTTATAGCAGGGGAGACAGCCCAGTTAGCATGAGGGAAGCCCAAGGAGGTGGGACCCGAACCTCAGGTTCCATGTGAAAAGGCTGGGAGGGTACTCCAACTGAACATCTGAGGGGAACAATACTAAGATAGGCTCAGGACAGGTAAATGCCATGGGGTATTCAATAGTCGACTAGATCTGGCAGTTGCTCCTATCCTGTGCATACTTGAGCCAACTTACCTGTGTCTTCAAGAGCCTCAGGGTTTGCAAGGCAGCGAACATGAGAAGTCATTCGTGCAGCAAGGAGATACAAGGCATGTGTTCCTTTACGAGGGAGCGATGCGATTGTTGACATGGCAATTGTCGACCATCATTGTGGCAAACAAAGGCATTGGCCATGAAGCGATTGTCTGACTTCGTGCAGTTTATCGCGCTCAAGCGTGTTTCTCAGTGCAAAGCAAAGCAAAGCATCGAAATCAATGGTGCCTAGCGTTGTGCTGCAAGCATCTAGGTTTTGCAACTGCTTCCGACAGCCTCAAGCATCGCCAAAGCATGGCAAGCAGTCTGTTCTCCAGACATATGGAAACTACACCATCGCACAATCACTCCCTTCTTCCCAGCACAAATGATCCAAACCAACCCAAAACCAAACTGCGTTTTGTAAAGCAAACAGCGCACGGGCCTACAAGTAACTCGGTGCCTCGAACAGCAGTCTCAAACATTGAATTGGAGAAGGGACTCTTCTCAATACCGTACCTTGGGCCCACTTCCATGCAGGTCAGGCATCAACAGCTGCTTGCGGATGCACAGTTTCTTGCAATTTGTTTCATGGGGCCGAGCGCATGTGCTAATACGATGAACAATGTCGAAAAAAGCAAAGCGATTGCATCATAGATCTGTGATGATTGAAAGTTGCAGTGAACCAGGGAAGTTAGAACTGCAAAACACAAAGTGTGGTGGCAATGTTGGACAAAACCAGCGAACACATCTAGGAAGCACGAAAAGGCCAGCGCTGCGTGTTGGCCAAGAAACCCTTAAGCGCGAACACTCCTGCACGTGCAGATTGCGCAACTTGTCCCAACACTGCTCGAAGTCATCTGCCTGCCAGGTAGGCATGTGAATTCCAAATGAAGGGCTAAAGATACAGATCCGAAAAAGGGGCACAGTTATCCTCGTGGGCACAGACATGGAACGTCGTGGGCAACGCAACTGCTGAAATTTGCCCGTTGCTTGAGTTATAATGTCTGATCACCATGGCGTCTGCAAAACAACATCTAGTTGCAAAATTGAACCCCGCAAAGAACCAGCGACGCTTCACATCTTTGATCTTCTTCGATCGTGTCTGGCAGTTGAAACCGGCCGTTGAATCAATAATGGTGCCTGTCCGTGAAGCAAATGCTCTGCTCCCAGTCTTTGAGATTGAACATGTGCCGGCAAGAAACCATTATTCAAAGGCAAGTGAGTGGCCCACTGAAGAATAGCTAAGTATTGTTAAGTTTGATAGTCTTGAAACAACAGCTGCCACACTCGCCCGTTTGATGGATGCATGGATGCGTGGATGCATGGGTGGGCGGGTGGGTGGGTGGGAGTATGGATGGAAAGATGGATGTATGGATGCATGGATGCATGGTCATAAAGATGCGTGGATGCATGGATGCACGCATGCATGCACAATTAATGTGGTACAGATGCGAGCAGGTGTTCCTGCACGTGGGGCTTCGAACTCCGACTCCGCGACTCGTCAGTGCGCCGGCCTCCGACCGGACCTCCGCAGGGGCCAAGGATGGCGTGCCCCAGACGGAGTTCAGGGGCGTTCGTACACGTACGGCCTCGGGCCGCGCGCTGTTCGAGATTCCAGGCGTCTCCTCGCTTCAGACGGGGGTCAAAAAATAGGCAGCCGCAATGGAACCCTGGTAAATGAGGACCATTTTGGACTAACACCCACCCTGGTTTTGTTTTGACCCATACCCAAAGGAAACTAGGCTTGGCTTCGTCATCCGGCACCATGCACTCTGACACAAGTTGCCACAGAAGCCATTGATATAAAGCGCATGGGCATCTCTCGGATGCTAAAAACATGTTGGGAGATATATTTCAGGGATTGAGAGGTTTGACGTGCACCGCCGACATATCCATGCCCAGTATGACCATGCTCCCACACCAAACAGCTAGGTGTAAATTTGGTGAGTATCCATGTTTCATGCATGCTGGATCGAGCAAACTCGCAGGCGCGGGAACGGCATTCAATGCTACCAATAGCAAAGCTTGCTACAGTATGTGCAATTAAGCATCGGTTGCTCATCCGTCTCATTTTTGCAACTGCTCTTCAGTTGGCCCCATGTCTTCGACAAGACTGAAGCTGCCTTTTTCAGCTTGGCTGTTGAGACCCTTGCTGAAACCACTATGGTTTCCAGCATGCATCAGCCTTCCTGGGAAGGGCAAACAAACCTCTCGTTGAAGCCCATTCCGCCCGCCCCTCAGGCGAGGGGCCGGTGCTTGCCCGTCACGGGCATCACGGCCTCAGACTTCAAGGCGGGCCGCACTCCCAGTTCTCCTGCACTAAGCATAACCCGTTGCGTGCGATGTGTGAGGGTGCGGTGTGTGCGTGTGTGCGTGTGTGCGTGTGTGTGTGCGTGTGTGCGTGTGTGCGTGTGTGCGTGTGTGCGTGTGTGCGTGTGTGCGTGTGTGCGTGTGTGCGTGTGTGCGTGTGTGCGTGTGTGCGTGTGTGCGTGTGTGCGTGTGTGCGTGTGTGCGTGTGTGCGTGTGCGCGTGTGCGCGTGCGTGTGTGCGTGTGCGTGTGGGCGTGTGGGCGTGTGGGCGTGTGGGCGTGTGGGCGTGTGGGCGTGTGTGTGGGCGTGTGGGCGCGTGCGCGTGGGCGTGTGGGCGCGTGCGCGTGCGCGTGCGCGTGCGCGTGCGCGTGCGCGTGCGCGTGCGCGTGCGCGTGGCGTGTGCGTGTGCGTGTGCGTGTGCGTGTGCGCGTGCGTGTGCGTGTGTGCGTGTGCGTGTGCGTGTGCGTGTGCGTGTGCGTGTGCGTGTGCGTGTGCGTGTGCGTGTGCGTGTGCGCGTGCGTGTGCGCGTGCGTGTGCGTGTGCGTGTGTGTGTGTGTGTGTGTGTGTGTGTGTGTGTGTGTGTGTGTGTGTGTGTGTGTGTGTGTACGTGTGTACGTGTGTACGTGTGTACGTGTGTGTGTGTGTGTGTGGGTGTGTGGGTGTGTTTTGTGTGTGTGTGTGTGTGTTTGTGGTGTGTGTGTGTGGTGTGTGGTGTGTGGTGTGTGATCTGTCTGTGTCTGTGTGCGAGCGCGCGTGTGTGTGTGTGGTTTGTGTTTGTCTGTGTCTGTGTGTGTCTGTGTGTGTGTGTCTGCGTACGTGTGCGTGTGTTTACCTGGTTTTATTCATCTACCAGGGCCATCAGTTTCCAATGGTCCCAGCAAACCAACCAAAAGGGACTATGGACCATGCATGCCTGCTGCCCATACTGGACACATAGCAGCATGGTTGTGATACCAAAACAGGCCGCACAAAAGGATCCAAACCAACTCAGCTGTGCCAGGAATGCTTTGCTGTCTGGCTGAGCCAAGTTGCAGCAGAGCATTGGCACGCTTTCCTGTCAGCGCATCGGTCCCTTTGAGTCTACACAGCTGCGGGCGAAGGAAAATGAGAAAGGACCAGTGTCAACAGCATGCTCGAAGGCTCTCCCTCCGTCTCTTCTCATATTCAAATTGCGAGATCTGCATTTCCGCATACTTATCTGCCTCCAGCTGAATTAAGTCATGTCAGCAGGATTGCAAAATGTCTTCCGTGTGAGGTACTGTGATCAACGGTCCGGAGCCAAGCAACCGCTTGTGACCACGGTGCTTTGAAGACTTATGCCTCAAAACTTCGGGCAAGGAACATGCATTTCCCTACAGGACCTTGGGCGTTAGCCATGGGTGAAGCTAGAAGTGAAGTGATCTACGTGATCTGATCAGCCAGCAATGGACCCAGTGACATGATTTAGGCTCGATTGTGACATGCATAGATTCTCTTGTTAGCTTCGCTTTCAATCTGACATGACATGACTATTCTAACGGTCGCCAAAGTCGCCATGTGTTCATAGCTTGCTGCTTGACAACTGCATGCCATTTCATGCATCGCCCTTCCACTGCGCGGATCGAAGGGCTCGGCTGAATGAGGATACCCGGCGCGGTCCTCTGGCACCTGCGCAGCCGGCTTTCTCCGCTTCAAGACACGGCGCTGTGCAGATGAAGTGGTTTTGTTCCTCTCGTCGCAGTGCGGTGAACTGGTTTCTCTCGTTGTAAATGAAGTGTCTCTTGTCAAACCGCAAAGGGTTGTGAACCTAACAGGGCCTAGCAAAGCCTAGGTTTGGCGAGCATCTTGCTTGTCCCGATCGGGAAGCTATGTTCAGTCAGGGAGCTGGTTTGAATGTAGAAAGATTCTGGGGGCTTGATTCGAACCATGCTTTTCAACCATCCTTCTTTTCAAAAGCCGATTACTGTGGGCAGTAAGCAGAGGCTTCCAGAAAAATGGCTCCAAACGAGGCGCTGCGCCGAAGAAATCCCAAACTCGGTGATCCTGTCCGCTCAAAGGGTTGGGTGTCAGGAAAAATCTACAGGGATGCCCCAAAACACCCGAAATAAGCTGTTTCCTGCCGAGTTTCCTGTAACCCAACCCTTTGAGTGATGTCTTGAAGGCATCGAGTCACGTGAGCAAGCAATTCGAAGTGCCCGATTATGCTAAAGCGCCCAATTTGCATAGCGAGCATGTGGCGACCATTTTGCTGATGGCACTTGATGGCCTCCACAAAGGACAAAACACAAAGAGGGCAGCTCAGAACGCGTGGCACTCATCGGCATGGGATCCCTGAAAACAGATCCGCACACCCATGCGTCCGTTTTCATCCTGCATCGCGAGTCGCGGCCATTCAGCGGCCGCATCATCTCGGTGCGAAGACGGTGCTGACTGTTCAATTGATTAGGGCCGGTCAGCCTAGTTTGAAGTTCATCGGATGCAAACATAAACCAGTTGCATGTGAAGCGGAAATCGCAAGATCAATGCGTACTCCTTGAGGAGCGAACGCATCCCTTTGTGAATGTGGATTGCCAGTGATTAACATGCGATCTAACCCGGCCGCGGACAAATACCCACGCTTGCCTTCGGCCGGCATGGTGGAAGATTCTGCTGCAACGAGATGAGGCAGAACCACCTTCAAGTTGCCTGTTTTATGCGAGTGAAGCGTCCGGCTGCAACTTGTCAGTTTCCAGGCCGGCTTGGTAACGATTCCTTCCATTGTTTGGCACGGGCGGTCAAAATTTGCAAGAACAGGAGCACTATTTGCGTGTCTGTGATGACAGTACGGTGTAGAATAACCAGAGCAACTCAGACTCAGATTTACCCTGCAGTACCATGCCAGCTTTATGAAATTCTCAACGCCAACATGCCCCTGAATGATACAGCAAGTCATTCGATTCGTTCTACCGAAGAATCTAAAAAAGCACTAATGAACTGGCAAACGTAAATTGGCATCGGCCCGTTGGCGTGACTGCTTGACAGTGTGCTATACTCATGCCCAACCAGTGAGTCGAGAGGCAACAGGTTGCAACAACCTCCATTTGCTTAAGTCCTGCGGAACAAATAAATATCTCCAGGCAACAAAAGTGGAAGACGGCCGACCTTCCAAACTAAACATCTCCCCACCAGCAGCGTAAGCATGCGTAAGCCATTAGGACCGAAAGCCAACGCGCGTCAGAGTTACACCCTGCTTCACACCCAGTGCCATTAGACTCTATTGCACAGCTTGGCTTCTTCAAGGGCTCCTTCCGCGATATCTGTTTGAAGCCCGTCAAAGGCCCGAAAGATCTTTACAATCCAACTTCCCTCCAATTGGTGGTTTGGATTGGTGGTTTGTGGTTTGGATTGGGGGGTTGGTACCTTTCCCTCTGCAAAAGTCCAAAAAGCACCAATTAGTGGACACCTATATCCTGGCATCCCATCCATGTTTTTAGTCCGGCCGCTGCTGCTTGCACTCCTCGATCTCCTGGTGGGGAGCCGCTGGCAGGGACTCCTCATGCACAAACCTAAGCTCCAGCCCAGCAGAAGCAGGCGACAGGCCACCGGCCGCAAAGCAAGCAGGCCGTCGAGTACAAAGCAAAGCAACTGAAAACAATGATCTTGCCGACTCACGGAAGCTTGGCCGCATATAGCACGGGGGGGAAACAAACATAGTGTATTGGGGTATTGCCCTTGCCTTCCTGACTTATAGTTGGATGTCATCGAGCCTTGTTGACAACAGCACATGCAAACAGCTTTCGTTGCATCCGAGTCTCTTGTCCAATCGCCCCACTGGCTTGCCGAATTCCTCCTTCCAGGCATGGGCTTGCGGTCGCAAGTGGCAAAGTCACAAGCCGCAAGTCGCAAGGGTACTAGGTCCTCCAGTAGAGAGGCTAGAATAGGGGTACTCTTTATTCTGTAGTCTATTTTAGTAGGGGAACCCTCCCACCAAAAAAGGGTAAAAGGGCACTGCTGGGGACCTAGACTGAGAATGCTTCAACATGAAGGATTTATTTCCATTTGCTGGCAGCTGCCCTGGCAGCCCCACTTCCTTCCGTGCGGCCCGCTCTACTTTCTGCATCTGGCACTTGGTACTTGCAATCTACATGGCTAGCTCTCTGCACTTTCTTCTAAAGGGTCCTGTTTGTACGCCTTAGCGAAATCAAGACGTTTAAGGACAAATATTCATCGCAAAACTCGCGGTTGCCACTCCCATTTTGGGCGGCAGGCGACGCGGGACGCGGGCCAAAGCACCCTTTGCTGCCTGCAATGCCACCAGTCGATTGCAGACCAACGTGAGGTATCTGCTCAAATGGTTGGCATCCAGCTTGAACATGTCATAGAAACCTCGCAGGCCACAACCACATCGCTGCCTGTTGACCTCCTAGCAATATCTCAGCATGCGTTTCCTCATCCGTGTCGGGGAGCAAGCTCACGCACAACCGTAAATGTTACGAGGGTGCATCATCTGCATGCACGGACAGGCGGATGGAATTGGCAGCAGCCAACAAACCATATTGGCTGATGCCAATTCTCTGGCTGAATTGATGGATGCAGCACAAAAGACAAAGTGACTCGAAATTGTCACAGGGAGCAAAATGTTTGAAGCATCAAGAACAGGTCTCAGCCCAGTCGCGGTTGCACTGGTCTGGCTTCTCCTCAGGGCAGCCAGGGAGTGGGAGGGCCTATCACTTGCTTTGCAGCCAACAATTTGAGGGCAAGAATGGCTCACGCCTTGTCAACACCCAGTTGCCATCTGAAAAACGCTCACAAATTCCCTGCACCAAAATTGGACCCATGTGGACAACATCCACCACTTGGACCCCATGGTTGAAACCAGTGGTATTTTACCTAACTCAGACGAAACACCAGGCGTTCTGAACGGTGCCTAGGAGGCCGCAACCATCAGGAAGCCGCCAGGGCCCACAAAAAACCTTGAGCACAATCTGCACAACCCTTGCTATGGTAGCAAAAAAACAACGCGAGTTGTTTGTTTCTTTGGCAGCCCCTTATCCAAAAGATGAACAGAACCAAACCACACACACACACAACCAGTGTGTTGTGAGCTTTGCAGTGCTAAAACTACGTCCCAGGGAGCACCCCTTCTGAAAAAAAAACACCTCGCATCCGATTGAACCCGTGCAGCCACGGCCTGGTTTATGCCTGGCATCGCTGCGCATGAAAAGCCATGCCCCGCCTGGCCAAGGACCACGGACCAGGTGATGTCCTTGCCTGCGTCTCAAAGTTGGCATCGCATGGCGCGTGGATACGCCAAAATTAAACCACCAGGAATTGGACCGCAGGTTTTAGCACCAGGGCTCCATTTTGGTTTACCCTATTTTTTGAACCCTGGTGAATGGAACCAAAGACTAAAACCTGCAGGTCGACTGGTGGGTGAATGGAACCCAAAGACGAATGGAACCAAAGACTAAAACACCAGGAATTGGACCGCAGGTTTTAGCACCAGGGCTCCATTTTGGTTTACCCTATTTTTTGAACCCTGGTGAATGGAACCAAAGACTAAAACCTGCGGTCGACTGGTGGGTGAATGGAACCAAAGACTAAAACCTCTGGTCCAATTCCTGGTGCTTTAATTGAGCCAGGAATTGGACCGCAGGTCTTTTTGTCCTTGGGTTCTTTTTCCAGGGCAAGCCATTTTGGGGTTACCCTATTTTTTGAACCCTGGTGAATGGAAACAAAGACTAAAACACCAGGTGACCGCAGGTTTTAGTCCTTGTTTCCATTCACCAGGGTTCCATTTTGTGTACCTATTGTTTGAACCCTGGTGAATGGAACCAAAAACACTACAACCTGCGGTCCAATTCCTGGTGGTTTAATTTTGACCCATACCCACATGTTTGCGGAAACCGGGCCAAAAGCACGAACTTGCGCGGATAGGCCAAACAACACCAGCTGAAGTAAAAGCTTGGTTTGCCGAGTGCCAGCTACTAGGCCTTGCCGCGACATCCCCAGCATTGTTCAGCCAACGTGCTGACCCCAAGAAGATTGCAAGATGCAATTTAAACACTATGACTGACGTCCACCAGCACGAAGACACACGCAACGAAACTAAATGGCTTCACGCGCAAAGGC